CCTGGAACAGATACGCAGCCGCTCCGATGACCTGGCGCCGCTTCTAGCTGCCAGTGGAGACGCCGGGTGAGCATCAGGGAGCTCCGGGGCAGCGGGGTGTGCTCAGGAGTGCGGGGACAGAGCTGCATTTGTTTGTGTGTGCGGCTGTGTCCTGCGAGGGTCTCCCCATTCCCAGAGTCCCAGTGAGCTGCTTCAAATATCTGTGGGGTGTGGCGACGGTCCCCCATTTCCTGCACCCGGGTCGAGGACGCAGGACACGACGTCCTGCTGTTCCACGTGCGCATATCACAAAGGACAGAGCCAGGCGTGGGAAAGTGGTGGAGAAACAGCCGCTGATACCTGTCATCAGTTGGGCAGCAAGATTGTCACCCACGCTATTTTCGAATGGCAGAAGGGTCTGCGTTTCTTAGCAGGAGAGGAACAGTAACAATTCTGAAGTGTGGTGGTGCCTGCCGGCTCATGCCGTGTACTGCTCCGAGTTTTCGGTACCTGTGGCCGCTGCTCAGCGCTGTGATCGTGTTTGATTGACAGTAGCCGAAGCGGGGGGACTGCGGCGGAGTGGTAGGGGCAGTGTATCGTCTAACTCGCAGCAGGTATTTCCTGACTTCTAGGCAGCGCACTTTAATGTACTTGGAAGGGTTTGGCAAAGGACACTTCGTGTTTGTGTTTTTATGTATTAATCGATTTCTACAGTGATTCCTCGCGGCTTTCCACGCCTGCGGTGTTATCCTGAAGGTGTTGGAATTGCCGTGGAACCTCGCATGCAGAGCCGTGTCCCCAGGAGGATGAATGTGGCCTTGCCATTAGGACTCTGAGTCCTCTATGCCCTGAGCCACAGGCCCCCGGAGGCCGCGCGGTTCCTGCATTTCCCTTTGGTGGGTGCGGCCCTTCCCTCCTTGTTTACAACTCTGAGCTCCTGTGAGTCTAAAAAGCCGGAAGCAGCTTGACATTTCTTTCAAGTTGAGCGTTCTGTGGTCAGCTTGTACATGGATTTGACGGGCATTCCAAGCTGCCCAGATTTATTTTAGCATACAAGATGTGTTTCAGTCTGTATACCACCAAATAAAACGAATGCTCCTGGCTTCACTCTTCCTCTTCTGAGATCTTAGTGGAGAACAGATTGAAAACACTCTGAAGAATGCCCTGTGATCCCACCACTTTGGGAGGCTGAGGCAGGAGAATAATAAATTTGAGCGCCTGCCTGGACAACTTAGTGCCTTAATGAAATCCTGTCTCAAAAAACAAAATTAAAGAGGACTGGGGATGTAGCTTAGTGCAAAGGTGCTGTACAGAAAAAAAAAAGTCTCAGAATACACCTTAACGCCACACGAATACTTTCCCTCCCGCGTCCTGGGGGCATGGTCCGAAGGACGAGGTGGCAGAAGGAGATGTGGGTGGTGGGCTGGTGAGTGTTCAGAGTAGACGGAGAGGTTGCTCGATGGCTGGAAGAAACTGGTGCTGCGGGTGGGAAGACAGCAGCACGGTGCAGTGCCGGACTGACTGCAGCCTCCGTTCTCCGCAGTGGCTGGAAGGAGTCCCTGTGGTCCTGGAGCCTGTGTGGGGAGTCACAACGTGTGACCCCATGAGCCAGGGTCCAGAAAAGTCCTCCCATCCCTCCTCCTCCAAAAAGTAAAAACCAAATCTTTACATGAAAGTTTCCGTGTAGGCGCTTCCAAGCTGCACTTGTTGCTTCTCCTGTGATGGAAGTTTTGTGCCTGCGCTTTCCTGGTTGTTGTTTTTCCTGCGTGTATCATGTGCCCGCCCGGGTTGCTGCCGGTGAGCAGGAGATGATGGATCGGCGCCTCGCGCACTGGTACAGACTGTTTCCCTCAGTGGCCATTGTTTTCCAGAGAGACTGACTTCTGTGTAGCAGGGCTGGCGCTGTCTGGCATTTAGCTCGGGTGCCACCTCTTGGAGCTGGCGAGATGGCGTTTGGGCAGTGGTAGTGTGTTTTGTAACCTGCTGTGGGGCATGGGCCGTAGTGGTATCAAACAATAACAAATGCTGTGGGCTCCCCTGGTCTCTTACAGTTAGGGAAGACGCCAACTTGCTTTAAAAATGCTTGATGATAATTCCAAAACTGTAAGTGAAAGAAGAACACTTACAGGTGATGCCGTGAAGAGCGTGTGAAAGTGATCTCGTTAATAACGCAGCTCACTGTAAGGGCATCACTGCGTTTACGAGCACAGAGCAACACGCCATCCTGCAGGACAGACCCTTAGAGCAACCCTTCAAAGGGATAATCATGTTTATTAACAGTAAATTACTCATGGTAGCAAGATATGTATGTGCTTTCGAAAATATCTTTTTTTTTCTGTCTTTTTGAGACAGGGTCTCCCTGTGCAGTCCAGGCTGAGCTTGAGCTCACTTTGTAGCCCAGGCTGGCCTCAAACTTGCAACAGCCCTCCTGCCTCAGCCTCCCGAGTCCAGAAGATCTTTTGTTCAGATTTCAAGTTATTTATTTACTTTTATTTTTTTATTTTTACTTGTTAGGATTTTATAAGTAGTGCATGTTTGCAGTTCATGCAGTTTACAGTCATCCAGGGGCGCGGGGACCTGTGCACACCACAGCTTGCTTCTTTCTTCTTAATTTCCTCCCCCTCCTCCAATCCCCCTCTCCCCTACTTTTCATTTTCATTAAGGCGTACAATGTCTACATTCACCGGGGTACCAGGTTCCTGCACCTGGCACACCTTTATTCTGCCTGTGCCCCTCCCTCCTCCCCACCCCTCACCCTGGTCCCTCGGATCCCTTCCCTGCCACACGAGATCCGTCTCCTTGTCCCCTTCTGTCCACCCTTTATCACTCCATGTCTTTGCCTCCCTCAAATGAGAGACTCCATATGGTATCTAAACCTGTGTGTCTGGTTTATTTCACTCAATACTGCATTTTCCAGGTGCATCCATTTGCCTAAAAATGTCTCAAATGTGTCATTCTTTGTAGCGGAATGGTGCTCCATTATGTAGAGGTACCACATTTTCTTCATCTGTCGCCGTTGGTGGGCAGACAGGCTGCTTCCAGGACTTAGCTATTACAAATTGTGCCGCTATAAACATCAAGTACAAGTACCGCTGGAGCATGCTGACGTAAGCTCTTTGGGGAAGATCCCTAGCAGGGGAATCACTGGGTCGTGTGGAATTTCTAATTTCAGTTCTTTGAAAAATCTCGATTCTGACTTCCATAATGGTTGCACCAGTCTGCATTTCCACCAGCAATGAAGGAAGGTTGCTTTTTCACCACAGCCATGCCAGCGTTTGTTGTTGTTTGATGTCTTAATGATAGCCATTCTTTCTGGAGTAAGATGGAGCCTTAGGGTTGTTTTAATGTGCATTTCTCTAATGGCCAGAGATTTTTTCACATATTTGCTGGCCATTTGTATTTCTTCCTCTGTGAAGTATCTGTTCATTTCTCTTGCCCGCTTCTTGACTGGGTCTTTAATTTTAGGATTTGTGTACAGCATTGATGAACTCGGTGAGAAGGAAGCGATGAAAAGATCCAGATCCTCTTATAGCATTGTAATCATGATGTCGCAAGCAACTTTCCAACATATTCTCTGTCATTTGAGGAGTAGGGGGGTGGTCAAGATACATTTTCACCACTTTTATAGGAAGGAACAGGGACTAGGCTGAAATTAATGGATACAAGGTGGGATCAAAACATATGGTGAATGTTTAAAATATTTTTAAAAATTTCTTATACCACAAAGTACATTCACTTTAAACACATATTTTTGCCAGTTTCTACAGCGGCTCTGGGGTCCTCTTTCCTGGTGTCTGTAGTTGCACTGTCCTGGCTGCCTCAGTGTCCTGAATTGGTTCAAAGTATTTCCTTCGTAGGGTCCATTGCCTTTGGGGGAGAGCCGGAAGGCGCAGGGCACCAGGGCTGGTGAGTGAGGCGGCTGAGGACGCACGGCCGTGTTTTCATGCGCCCGCCTGTCCGTGGGACGGCCCTTGGCAGCTGCTGTCACCGTATGTCTTATCTCAGCTTGGAGAGACACTCAGGAAAGAGGACTCAGAGCTGCTGTGGAAAGTGGTGCGAACGACGGGAAGAGTGTGCTTAGAGCAAGGGGCTGGGTTCTCAGGGGCGCTGATGGCGGTGTGTGGCCCCAGGTCCCTTCTCTACGTTCTGTCAGGCCCTGTCACATGAGCAGCACTTTCTTTCCTGTCTCGGGGGTGTGGCTGCCCTGGCGTGAGGGTGCTTGGAAGGGAGTCCCTGACTTGCTGTGAAAGATGCCTACCATACTCCAAAGTGCTTAGGACAGGAGGTCCTGGACTGTCCCTCCCTTGCAGCTGAAGGCTGTTAGTAGGACTTAGTTGTCACTGTCTAGGCTAGAACTACCAAGTGCTTGCAGGGATTTTGAGGAATTACATATTCCAAGGCACCAGGAGAAAGTGTTCCCCAAACGGAAGCACCCTTGCTGTGTGCCATAAACCAGGTGACTCTCCTCTCTGCTGTCACCCGCTCCTCCCTGCTCCTTCAGTTTCGGGGTCACTCCTCCCAGTGTCCCCAGGAACTATGAGAGCATGGAGGAGGGCTGCAGTGCTTTGTCCGTGGCAGTTTGTCTGGAAGCTGCTCAGCAGGCGAGGTGGGGGCCCTGTTGTCCCGGGATGCTGAGCCCCATGCGCCCCACTCATCTCTAAGCTGGGAACCCTTTCCTGCCCACGGGCACATGCGCTGGGTCCAGAGCAGGAGCTGCAGAGGGCTGTGAGGTCTCAGGATGGGATGGAGGAAGACGAGGTCCCCACTGTGGAGCTGAGGGGACTTCTGGCCGCCCCCGACTCCACAGCGGGCTCGGGGCCCAGTCCCAGGCAGGAGGAGAAAGAACCTGGGGCCGAGGCTGAGATGAGAGCTTGGCCCGGGCTCTTCCCTCCCTCGGCAGCAGCATGGAGGGCACAGAGCCACAGCAGTGGGGGGAGCCATGGCATGGGGGGGCACAGGCCCACTGCACTGGGCCGCAGAGGCCGCGTAACCCTCCTACCGTCCGTTTCGCCCACCTGCAGGGCCAAGGAGACCTGCTGAAGAGCGCCAAGCATGAGGCCCTGGAGAACATGAAGCAGGTCCAGCTGGCCTGCCTGTCCTGCGGGCTGAGCCGGGCGCCAGGCGGTGGCACCGAGGCCAAGGGCAAGCGCAGCCTGGAGGCCATCGAGGAGAAGGAGGGTGGCGAGGACAACGGGCGGCCCTGACCGCCCGCCGGCCGCCCGCGCCGCGCTGGCTTTCTTCACGTTTTAGGAGTTCACACAAAGATGTGCTCTGTGGGGTGTCGGACAGAGACGTGTTTTCACAATGTCAGTATTTCAGTGTAGTTAATTTATCTAAGTTAAAACCTTTAGATGCAGTGTTTTAAATCCTGAGATGTGTGTACTCACCTGTGTGTGTGTGTGTGTGTGTGTGGTGTGCACAAGAGAGAGAGATTGAAATCCATTCTGTGTTGCATTATTCATATTATTCATTTAGTAAATTATTCTCTTGTCTGTATCATCATTTTGGGACAAATTTGTTAATCTGAAATTCTAATGAGCACTTCCTGTAACCTGATGCTGCGTTGAACTTTACGTCTCTGCCTCTGTCATTACTTTAGAGATCTTAGCGTAGCTTATGATTAAAGAAAGCCAAATTTGCCAAAGCATAGGTGTTTTGATAGATTAAGTATAGATTAAAAATTCTTAAGAATCACAGTAGAAATTTTAAAAACTGAGAGATTAAACAAATGTTCAGAAGTGCTGGAAAGATTAACAATAGTCGTTTCTTCAGTCAGCAAACTCTTTAAAATGCCAAATAAATCAATGTTTAGGTAGTTTCCTGTAGTCATTTACTAAACATACAATTTCAGCACTCACAGAGGAATTTGTACCCACTCGTGTAGCACTCAGAAACACACAGAAAGCAGGATTTGGGCGTGACAGTAACATTCACTTACGGAGTTTCAGGATTTGTAGACAGATTTCATTTCTCCAAACTGGGAGTCTAGCATTCGTTTCCTGCAGCAAACATGGGCACTGGGGGTTGGCTTTAAAGAGACTCAATGCAGGGGACTAAATTTACATTTACGCTCTGCTCAGACAGTGCCGTACCATCAGGCCGAGCCCACACAAATTCTGTGGGTCAGTTAACATCTTCCCGATGATTTCAGAACTAACTGAACACAAAACATCTATCATTTTAACACATACAGAAAAACACATGTGAAAAGAAACAAACGACTAATTAGGGTACATATATAATTACATCTAAATCATTTTTACCCTAATGTCTTCATAAAGTACTTGAGTACAATGTTAATTACCTCCAACAGAACTAAATGTTCTATGGTTATGAAAGAATGTATTTATTTAAAACATTGCTTTTATTTTGAAAAGCTTCTTAATTAATTTGATTAACAAATATGCTAATTGGGGGGACTCTAGAGAAGAGAATTGTTGAAATTTTGCAAATATAAACATCTTCCTCAGCTACTGTGTTGCTTCTGAGTTCTTGACACTATTATGTTCATGGTGCACATTACTGAGAGAGTAAAGATCGTGAAAAGCACTTTTCTTGTTCTCTTTCATTGTAAATGAGCTGCAAAAGGATCCATAATGAAAATGGGTGACGATATGAAAAATATCTTGAAGCCAGCATGGGGGTGCACACGTGTAATCCCAGCACTCTGGGAGGCTGGGGCAGGAAGATTACAAGCTTGTGTCCAACTTGGGCAATGGAGTCACCTAGCAAGACCCTTTCTCAAAATAAAAAATATAAAAGGGCTGGGGCTATAGCTCAGGGCAGAAGCCCTGGATTCAATCCCCTGCATGAAAAGAAAAGAAAAGAAATCTTTAAAAGATCTTGAAAGTTATGTTATGCTATTCCCAGGGGCCAGGTGCTATAAAATTACTGTATGAGTTGAAGGCGGGACTCTTGGGGCAGAGGTACCCAAACTCACTAAACTTCCAGTACTTCCACAAGGTCCAGAAAACATTTCCCTACCCTCCAGTATGCATCCTTGCTGGGGGAAGGGGTAGCAAAATGCAGGCATCCAAGTCCCTGTGGTGAGAAGGATGCCACAGACAGTCACAAATCCCGTCTCCCGTGGGGCACCTGTCCCTTCCCGATTCCTGGGGGAGTCAGCTGCGATGTGGCTGGCGGGAGGGAGATGGGGGCACAGACTGCCAGAGAGGCCACGCTGGCCTTGGCAGGACCTTCACTTGTTAACCCATTTGTCCTAGCGCTGCATCGGCCCTGAGGACGTCATGCGGCCGGTCGCGTGGGTAGCAGGCCGTGCGCCACCTCCGCTCCTTCGCAGGGGCACAGTGAGGAGACGGGGCGCCTGCTGTGGAGCGGGAAGGAGTTGGAACCTGCGAGTGGAGGAGCCGCCAGGACAGGCCCCGCGATGGTCTTCCCTCGGAGAGGACAGCAGAGCCAGCAGAGCCTGTGCTTGTGCCGCCTCTGCCGCGATTGCGGGCTCCAGCACCTCTGCTTCCCGGACTGGTTAGGGCTCTGCCCCTGCGCCCTGGTCTCTCTCCCGGGACGGAGGCAGAGCGGCGCCAGGCATCAGCTGACGTTTGTTTGCAGCTGGGCGAGGCGAGACCTCCGACAGGCAGGCAGGGACTGAGGAGCACTCAGACCTGGGTGGGCCCAAGTGTTTACCTGGGATTTGTAGTCTCAGAATTTCAGACTAGACCACTAACCCTTCCCTGTCGGAGCACAAAGGTATATATTTTGTGTGAAATAAAGTATTAATGCCTATAGAAAAACAGAAAATGTGTAAAAATGGAAATAAAAATCACCTATTAACATAGAGCTTATCATATGTAAATTGGCTTTCATTTTTAATAAAGATGACTCCATGTGATATAAACTGTTTATAACAAGATTTTAAAAATTTTAGCAGCCTCTCACAGATATCTGTGTCAGGGAGAATAAATGTACATTGGAGCTCCTGGCTTTTCCGCTGGATATCTGTGTCAGGGAGAATAAATGTACATTGGAGCTCCTGGCTTTTCCGCTCCTAGTCCACAAACGATGTGTTTTATTTGGCCACTGAATCTTTTTCTAAAATGTTGAAGCAGTAGACAACTTTTGAAAATTAGTCAGTTTCACATAAAATTCAATTTCTTGTTTCTTTTGAAGTATTGGGTCTACTTTGACAACCTAAGGTATTCACGCTTTGCCCATACCACGTACCTGGGGTCAGATTTTTGTGGGATCTGCTCCCCGGGGAGCATCTGCTGCTCAAGGTCAGGAGCCCTCCCCTCATTGCACTCGGTCAGTCCTGGTGGACTTCTCCTGGGTCTCATTTATAATAATCACACTGTGTCCTGTGTGATTCATCGTATTGTAGCGTGTTTCACAGAGACTCTTTCGTTAGACCTTCTTTCTTAATTTATCAGTATATATGTACTACAGTGAAAAAAAAAAGTCTCATTTTGTAAAATTACCCAACTTTTTCTTTAGGATACATTTCTAGAAGTAGAATTGTAGGGTCAAAGTATACATAGGACTTCAGGGACTTTGAGCTACAGTGCCACATCATCTCTGGAAAACTTGTCCAATGTAAATTCCTACAGGAGTTATGAAAGGGCTCAAATCATGGTTAATGATACATTTAATGTTTCATCTCCTCAACTCTGCTTGGTTAAGAGCCATATTGCTCCTTATTTTTAATGCCTAGTGAGATTAAAAACATATTAATATGCTCACTGGCTATAAATTAACTCACCAAAATTAGGTTTTGTACTCCAAAGAGTATTTTGGAGTACAGAATGAAAAAAAAAAGAAAATTTTTTTCAAATTTGAAAGAAAACATGCAGGTTTCCAAGTCATATATCTTGATGAGCGTCTGGGATCCATGATGTATAAAAGTCTATTACACGCAAAACAGCACAATTTTGTAAAATGGACAAAGGATCTGAATAGGCCTTTCCTTAGAGGTTTGCAGGGACCAAGGCCTAGGGATAGAGGCTCTGCTCTAGTCACCACTAGGGGCGCTCGGATCACAGCTGTGGTGAGGCGCTTCCTGCCTGCTGGGTGCCTTAGTGAGACGCTAATGCGTGCCCAGGAGGCTGGGAAGCGCAGCCTCTTACACTGCTCCGGGAAAGCGGGTCAGCTGGTTTGGAAAACACCTTGGCACTTCCTTGAAAGGTGAAACAGTTACTGTGTTGACCCAGCAGTTCTCCTGGAATCGTGCTCAAGGGAAATGAAAACCCGTGTCCACACAGACACTTTATACGAAGGTTCACAGAACCATTATTCATAGTCAAGATGTGGAAGCACCCAGATGTCCATCATCTTATGATAGAGTAACCGAAATGTGTAACCATGTAGTGGATTACCCAACAATAGAAAGAAATGAAGGACCGATGTGTGCCACCCCGTGAGAGACCAGAACATTCTGCCGGGTGATTTGATTTTTATTCAGTATTCAAAACAGGTGTAACGAAGCGGAACACAGACTAGCATTTGCTGAGGTGGAGGCAGAGGAGGGGCACCCACTGGTAATGGGATGAGTTCTCTTTGGGGTGATGAAAGTGTTTTGGAGTCAGACAATGAGGGGTCCACAATTTTGGGATGTTTTGTAAGTCACTGAGTTGCACCCTTTAAAAGGGTGAAGTAGAATTACAGGGGGGCACATAAATGATATCTTGGAAAAAGTATTATTAAAAAGGAAATAGAAATAAGAATTGACACCGTGGACAGTGTCTGAACTGTGAACTAACTTCCAGGAATCTACTACAGATGAAATTGGAGAGAGGAGGAGAAAGGAAAAATAGGTGAAGAAATAATGCTAAAATTTTCTCATTTTTGTCAAAGCTATAAACCCACACATTTAAGAATCTGTAAAAAGCCAATGACAGGAAGCAGAAGGGAAACTATCACTATAGTCTCAAGGCACATCAGTCAAATTGTTCAAAAAGAGTGCAAATGAGACAATCTTGAAGGTAGGTAGTGAAAAAAGACACTGTAGGTGAAGAAAGATAAGTAGAGAAAATAAAACAGTGGGTGAGACGGCAGTGAGGGCATTCTCTAAACTACTGAAAAACAAGCAAACATTGTCATCCTGGAATTCTGTACCCAGGGAAAGAACCTTCAAAAATGAACATCGAAAAATTCAAAAGCTGACTTCATCACCAGTAGACCTACTCTACAGGGAAACCTTTTGTGCTAACAGAAAATAATGCCAGATCAAAACAGGGATCTGTATAGAGATGAAGAGGAGTAGAAATAGTTACCATGGTGAAGACGTATTAAAATTGTATTGTTTAACATCCTTAAAGATAATTTTTAAACAAAAATTAGCAATGTGGAATTAGCAATGTGGAATTTGTAGTATGTAAAATAAAATAAAATATGTGGTAAGAACAGCACCAACATAGTGGGAGAGAAAGCTCCAACACTGGATGTACCAGGAGGGAGACTGTAGTCAGTTCAAGATCATACTCTGAGCTCCGAGACTACCATGACCAGAACAGCAAAGCAAAGAGATGTAAGTCACAACCAGTAAAGGCAGTAAAGTTGAATCATAATAAATGAAATGTGTTCTATTAATCCAAAATATGGGAGAGAACAAAGGGAAAATACAAATGGAAAATTAAAAAAAATCAAGATGATTGTTTTAAGATATCGTATCAATGATCACATTACATGTAAACTATATAAATATTGAACTTAAACAGCAGAAAATTCAGATTGGATAAAAGAGTGAACAATATGGTACTTACCAATAGCACACTTCAAATATAAGAACACAAAACAGGTTAAAGCAAAGGTTGGGAAAGATGCCACCTGCAGTGGCAGTGGTGTGTGAACATCAAAGACAGCGGATTTCAGGTCCCCGAACACGACCAGAGGTGGAGCATGTTGTGTGACGTGATTCAGGTGTTCGTTCATGAGGGATGTGTAACCATCCTAGATATGCATGTGGCTTGTTTCAGAGCTTCCAAGAGCATGAGCCAGAAACAAAACCGATAGACTTGCAGGAGAAACACGCAATCACACAGTTACAGCCAGAGTTTTAACAGCGCTTTCTCAATAATTGATGAGACAGCTAGACAGAAAGATCATTCAGGATACAGAAGATTTAAATACTATGATCAAAACTCCTGGACATAATTGACAATATAGAATACAGTACCTAACAACAGCAGAATACATATTGTTTTTCAAGTCACTCAAAAGAGTTACCAAGATAGACTACATTCTGGGTCAGAAAACAAGTTCCAATAAGGTTAGGAGGATTAAAATTATGTACAAGGTGTTCTAAAGCTGTAAAAGAATGAGATTAATAACAGGAAGATCTTTGGAAAATCTTCAGATACTTAACTAAATTACTCATGAGTCAAAGAAAAAACAAAGAAGGAAATTATTTTAAACTTATGTGTCAAAAATGTCACGTCCCCGGGAAAGAATCCCTAACTTAGGAGAACATTCTACCAGTTGACACCTGCATTAGAGAAGAAGACATTTCTCAAACCAAAGCCTCAGTTTCCTCTTGAGAAACTATAAAAAGAAGAAAACATAAATTCAAAATAAAAAGGAAATGATAAAGATCAGAG